ATTTGGTGCAAATTTCCCTTTATATTCATCTTGGTGAGGAAAAATACGTTTGAGAACCAACTGACCAACCTCGAACGTTCTGGCCCTTACTTTCTTCTGAAAAGTCCGAATCATTCTCTGTCGATACAATTGACCATGACAAACAGCAACCATCCTCTTCTCGTCAATCAAGGTTAACTGGTCAATCCGCTTGCAAATCCAATCAGCATCATCCAATTCAGCCTCCTGGATAATTCTCAATGAAGGTATTTCAACTTCTGCAGGTATAACTGCTTCCGTTCCATATACTAACAAGTATGGAGTGGCCCCAATCGATGTTCTGACAGTCGTTCTATAGCCCAACAAAGCATATGGTAGCATCTCATGCCAACCTCTGCGATTATCAATCATTTTTCTCAGAATCTTCTTTACATTCTTGTTGGCGGCTTCTACAGCTCCATTCATTTGGGGGCGATAGGCCGTTGAGTTCCGATGAGTAATCTTGAATTGTCCACATATCTCTCTCATCAAGTGACTATTGAGATTTGCTCCATTGTCAGTAATGATGGATTCTGGCACGCCAAACCTGCATATCAGATTGTTGCGAACAAAATCAGCTACGACTTTCTTGGTTACCGACTTATACGAAGCTGCTTCCACCCATTTGGTGAAGTAGTCAATAGCAACCAAAATAAATCTGTGTCCGTTGGAGGCAGCTGGCTCTATTGGACCAATGACATCCATGCCCCAAGCTACAAACGGCCAAGGTGAACTCATAGCATTGAGTTCGTGAGGTGGAACTCGAATCAAATCACCATGTACTTGACATTTATGACATTTTTGTACAAATTTGCAACAATCGTGCTCCATAGTCATCCAAAAATAACCGGCTCGAAGGATCTTTCTTGCTAAAGTGAGTCCATTCATGTGAGTGCCACAAACTCCCGCATGTATCTGTTCCAGAAGCTTCGCAGCTTCACTAGCATCAACACATCTGAGAAGACCTAAATCTGGAGTCCTCCTATAAAGGATTTCCCCACTTGCAAAGAAATTGAGGGCCATACGGCGTATCGACTTTTTCTGGTTGAACGTTGCATTCTCAGGATAGGCCCCGGTCTCCAAATACTTCTTGATGTCAAAATACCAAGGCAAACCATCTGGTTCTGCTTCGACATGTGAACAATAAACAGGCTGCTCTTTTACCTCGATATCCAAAGGATCAATATAACTTGTATCTGGATGTTTAATCATTGAGGCAATGGTGGCAAGTGCATCGGCCAACTCATTCTGTGTCCTGGGAGTATGTCTGAACTCAATCTTACGGAACCTTTTGCACAACTTCTGTATATACTGCACGTATGGTGTGATTTTTGGTTTTTTCACGGCCCATTCTCCTTGAACTTGGCGAATTAGCAGATCCGAATCTCCAATAACCAATAACTCATGAATGTTCATATCAATCGCTATCTTCAGACCGAGGATGCAGGCTTCATACTCAGCCATGTTATTCGTGCAATTAAATCGGAGTTTAGCCGCCATAGGATAGTGCTGACCGGTTTCTGATACTAAGACCGCTCCGATACCTTTACCTTGATGATTCGCCGCTCCATCAAAGAATACTCTCCAACCCGGGTACGCTTCAGAAATATCTTCACCCACGAATGTAACTTCTTCATCGGGAAAATAAGTCTTGAGTGGTTCATACTCTTCATCAACTGGATTCTCCGCAAGATGATCAGCTAAGGCTTGTGTTTTTATAGCCTTCTGAGTCACATATACAATGTCAAATTCACTCAAAAGCATTTGCCATTTAGCCAATTTCCCAGTCGGCATTGCTTTCTGAAAAATATACTTTAAAGGATCCATCCTAGAAATAAGGTATGTGGTATAAGAAGACAGATAATGTCTCAACTTCTGAGCAATCCAAGTCAAAGCACAACACGTTCTCTCCAAAAGGGTGTAACGAGCCTCATACGGAGTGAATTTCTTGCTCAAGTAATAAATGGCTCGTTCTTTCTTCCCACTTTCATCATGTTGACCAAGCACGCATCCGAATGCATTATTTGAGACAGACAAATATAGCAACAGTGGACTCCCTTCTCGTGGAGGAACCAACACCGATGGATTGGATAAATAGTTCTTGATAGCATCGAAAGCCGTCTGACACTCTCCGGTCCATTTGGTCAAAGTATCTTTTTTCAATAATTTAAAGATTGACTCACACACCACGGTAGATTGAGCTATAAATCGACTTATGTAGTTTAGCCTTCCCAGAAAACTCATTACCTCCTTCTTGGTCTTCGGAGGAGGCAATTCCTGAATTGCTTTAATCTTAGAAGGATCAAGCTCAATGCCCCTCCTACTGACTATAAATCCCAACAACTTACCGGCCGGCACTCCAAAAGCACATTTGGCAGGATTTAACTTCAAATTGTATCGACGCAGACGATCAAAGAACTTTCTCAAGTGAGCCAAGTGAGCCGAACTCTCGCGGGATTTGATTATGACGTCATCCACGTACACCTCGATCTCTTTATGAATCATATCATGGAAGATGGTTGTCATAGCCCTCATATAAGTAGCACCCGCGTTCTTGAGACCGAAAGGCATCACCCGATAATGATATACGCCCAGGGTGTGATGAAAGCTGTCTTTTCTGCATCTTCTTCGTCCATCAGGATTTGATGATAGCCCGCATAACAATCCACAAATGACTGCATCTCATGCTTAGCACAGTTATCGATAAGAATGTGAATATTCGGCAATGGAAAATTATCTTTTGGGCTAGCTTTGTTGAGATCTCTGTAGTCAACACAAATCCTGATCTTTCCGTCTTTCTTCGCAACCGGAACAACATTGGCTAACCAAGTTGGATATTGTGTCACTTCCACTACCTGAGACTCAATCTGTTTGGTAATCTCCTCTTTGATCTTTAAACTCAACTCCGGCTTGAACTTTCGAGTCTTTTGTTTCACTGGACTGAAGTATGGATTAATTGGCAACTTGTGAGACACTATATTCGTACTCAGCCCTGGCATATCTTTGTAAGACCAGGCAAATACATCAATGTATTCTTTGAGCAAACGAACTAGGTCCTTTCCTTGATCTTCAGTCAGGTGGACACTGATTCTGACTTCCTTGACACATTCTTCATCCCCAAGATTCACAGTCTCAGTTTCTTCAAGATTGGGCTTGTGTTGATTCTCGAATTGTCGAAATTCTTCAGCTATATGTTCTGGTACCTCATTTTCTTCTTTGTGTTCTTCGCATTCATCATCACCTACTTCATTTCGTCCATTCGGCTCATGACATGACATGACATTGGCAGGTTTTAAATTAATATTACTGAAATAATAAACAAACAGAATTAGGAAAAAATATAAACAGATAAGTAAATAAATTTTGACAAAAGAGGCTTTCATTTAAATTGAAGGACAAACACAACTTTGGCTATGGTAGAGGGCCATTTTGTCTTTTTAAAACATCACAAGAAAATGTAAAAACATTCAAATAAGTGAAATTGCATAAAGGGTGGGTCTCGGGCCTCTTCCGGACTACCACCGATTTCAAGAAACAAACAAAAGCACATGTCCTTTCTACCCAGAAGTGCGGGAAATCAGGATTGGTGTGGAGGTCCAATTTTGCAATTGCTCCGTAGGTTCTGCATCACGGATGCCTGATGTCTCGGCCTTGTCTTCAACGACCGCATCAATCTCCTTGAAAAGGCCGCAGATTCCTTCCCCTAGCCCATCGTCATTGACATATTCTCGCACCGGGAACGACTGGTGCAGATGAGGGATTGGTCTGGACAATACTTGATCAACGCTCTTACTCTTCATCTCTGCTTCGTCATCTTTGGGGACATACCCCAAACCAAATTTTACTCCTCTAGCGGGAATTTTGATGGGCTCGACAATTCCTTGAAAATGCTTCCCCAATCCGAAACCTGGTTCGAAACCACTCCGAAGCATCACAGTAGCAATCATCTTGTACACAGAAGGCATAGGAGGCTGTGAAGCCAAATCATCACCGGTAGCATTTACCAGCTCCACCGTGTAAAAATCACAACCTCGAGAGGCATTATCAACGATCGGCGCATGCCCGTTGGAATGGCTTCCTTCACCATAAATGACCAATTCCTGGTCCTTCCAAACAAACTTCATCAGTTGGTGAAGGGTAGACGGCACAGCCCCAGCCGTGTGGATAAATGGTCTTCCCAAAAGCAAATTGTAACTGGTGTTGATATCCAACACCTGAAACTCTACCTTAAACTCCGAAGGACCTATCTGAACATCCAAGTTTACCGCCCCAATGTGTCTCTTTGCACTCCATCAAAAGCCCTCACATTGACTTGGTTCTGCTGAAGTTTTCCCAAGTCAAATTTCAGCTGTCTCAAAGTCGATAGTGGGCAAATATTGAGACCGGATCCGTCATCGATCAAAACGCGATTTATTATCTTGTCTCGACACATTACGGTGACATGCAGAGCTTTGTTGTGCATCCTGCCTTCAAAGGGTAGCTCTTCGTCACAGAAACTGATTCGATGTCCTCGTATAACTTGGTTTATCATGGCCGCCAGATTATCACTATTAGTACCCACGGGTACATAAGTGTCATCCAAAGCTTTCATCAAAGCCTGCCTATGCATTTGCGAACTCATCAACAAAGCCCATACGGAAATCTGAGCCGGCGTCTTCTCCAAATGCTTCACAATTGAGTAATCTTTCGGCTGCATTTTTCTCCAGAACTCCTCGGCTTCAGCCTCACTGATTAGCCTTTTCGGCTGCTCTTTCTTCTGCACCCCCTGAGATAGCTCTTCTGGTGTATAGCACCTGCCGGATCTAGTCATGCCCTGGGTAACAGCCGTTCGATCACAAATTTCGGTCGGGCAAGAGTTTCTTGTGGCACCAAGGCAACAACCTTCTCGGGTGTCAGAATCACAAACTCCTTCTTCTCTCTAATGCTCAATGAAGCTACAGCCTTTTCCAGGTTATCAGAAGCGATCGGAACTATTGCCTTTGTTACACACCATCGTCATCTGTCTCTATCATATTGATAGTGACGCCTCCATGATTCGGCAAAGGATTACTATTGACATTAGGCTCGACTGTCTGGAGAGAGACCATTTTCTGATCGATCAGGTCTTGGATTTTGTGCTTCAAGTTGATACAATCCTCGGTATCATGCCCAACACTGTTGGAGTGATACGCACACCTTTGATCAGGTCTATAAAACTTTGAGCTGGTGTCAACCGGTTTGGGCCCCACTGGATAAATATAGCCTGCCGCGTTTAATCGCTCGAACAACTTTGTGCGGCTTTCAACAAGCGGAGTGAAAGTTCTGGCTGGCTTCTTCTCAAATCTAGGACGAGGGGGATCGTAATTGCCTTGTTGAGGAGGAGGCATTTGACGATAATTCGGAGCATTTGGGCGGGGGGTTTGATATCTGGGATATGAGTGGGTTTGGTAATTAGGCTGTGGAGCTTGGCAGTTCGGTAGGGTATTTTGGTAAAGTGGAACTGGGGTTTGGTATGTTTGGGGAGGAACTTGGTAATTTGCCTGAACGTTGGCACAGTTGGGGGTGATATTCCGGTAGTGATAAGATGGGGTCTGGTAAACTGGAGGGGGAGTTTGGTAGATAGTAGGGGGAGTACATTGATAATTGGAAAGAGGGGTATAAATCGGGTATGAACTTTGTGAAGGTCTAGAACGACCTTGGTATGATAAGGACTTCCTGGGGTTTTTCTTCCCCTCGAGAGATATAGAAGACACTTCTTCTCTCCTTTTCTTCAACAAACCGAAGATCCGGGCAATGCAGCAACACGAGCAATCTTCCCGGTTCTCAATCCATCTTCGATAGTTTCACCTACCTTGACTATCTCGGCGAATTTCGCTCCCACGAGCAACATGATTCTGTCATAATACTCGGGTTCTTGAACCCGCACAAACACTTCAACAATTTCTTTCTCCGACATAGGAGGTCGAACCCTGGCTGCCTCCTTTCTCCACCTATACGCGAATTCTCTGTAGCTTTCATTTGACTTCTGCTTCATCTTCTCTAGGGAATAACGGTCAAGAACGATCTCCACATTGTAAGCGAATCGTTCGATAAAATCTTTAGCTAAAACATTCCAGCTGGACCATTGTCTTGTCTCATGCGAGGTGAACCATTCCAGAGCCTCTCCATTAAGACTCCGGCTAAAAAGCCGCATCAATAAAGCTTCATCCCTTCCAACTCCCACGAGTTGGTCACAGTAGGCCCTCAAATGTGCCAGAGGGTTCCCTGTTCCTCCGAAAACATCGAACTTCGGCACCTTGAATCCTTCCGGAAAGTCCAAGTTGGGATGAATGCATAGGTCTTCATAATTCAAACCGGCGACTTCAGGAATACACTGTAATTCCTTCATGGCTTTCCGAATTTCTTCTTTCATGTCCAGCTTGGCGGCCTCTTCCTTTGACCTCCACTCTCTCTCCCGTTCTTCATAATGGTCGAGCTCAGAACCATTGGCGTCATGCTCATTGGGGACGGGGATTTGGAACATTGCTTTTTGGGGTAGGGGTGGAGCAATGGAGGGACTTTGGGCATTTGGGGTGGTTTGGTAGTTTTGGGGGAAAGTTTGGGGGTTGGTGTGTTGGTCTTGGTGACGGAAGGAAGTTTGCTGGTTGTTAATATGTTGGATTTGAGGGGGTGGAACAGTTTGGAGGTTGACATTTTGGGGGGAAAGTGGTACTTGGAGGTCGGGATTGTGAGGAGGGGGTGGTACTTGGAAGTTGGTATTTTGGGGAGGGTGTGCTGTCTGATGGGAGGCGGAGGCATATTGGGGGTTTTGAGCGGTCAGGTTGATAATTGATGGGTTATGAGCAAGACTAGATGGTGGGTTTTGAGCCTGTTCCGTGTTTAAAGAAGGAAAGTGAAGTGGAGGCCTTCCATCTGTTGGAGTATTGGATGCAAAAGCTGGATTGGGCAAATCTTGCCTTCTCTGCATCTCGACCCGCATCTCAGCTATCTGTTGCATCAACTGCATGATTAGCTCATTCTGATCGGCGATTACGGGTTGTGCCACAACAACATCTGTTAAGCTGGTATCTTCAACGTTATCACCCATTGTTGATTTGCCCTTTCGAGAACTTTGACCGGGAAAAGAATCTGCAGGCCCTTTTGATCTTGTGAAATATGGATGTTCTGCCAGTTTATCGACACAGATCAGTTCTGACTACCTGTAGAGAAGACAACTCAAAGGCAAATATGTTAGTTTTGATTCATGACAAATAATACAAAATATCACACAGAGGGCATATAAACACATAAGAGCTGCTTTGTCTGAGAACATGTTAACCCACGAATATGTTTTTTTTTTTTTTTTTTTTTTTTTTTTTTTTTTAAACAAGCAGGAATTTGCTCGTTTTATCTTGAGGCTAGTGACTCAGAAAGGTTAAATCGCGTTGAGCTAAGGTCTTCTCGTTACATCTTTCGGCATCTGTTGATCTGAACCCGACATTTCCTTGTAGAATGAAGAGGGAAATGGAAAATTTTCAAAAGATAGGGGCCGGGCCTTAAAAGGTTGCCTACGTATCTCACCAAGAGAATTCAGGCTCTACGTAGTTCGAATACAAAGAAAATTTTCATTCTCACTCATTCATTTTTGGTGATTACAAGGAAAGTAAAAAACAGATAATAAAGCTCCTAAAAGATAAAATGTGCCTTCATCCAAGCCATTCTTCTTTCGATTGTCACATCAACCCCGGGGGGGTAAACTCTTATGCTTCAAGGGCAATTTTCCCCATTCCCTACTTTCCACCGTCCTTGGGAAGGAGGCCTATAGACAATTTCCTCCTCAAATTCTTTGTCAACAGCTTCTGATTCATTATTTTCGAGGACCGGGACTGCGTTATCCAAAAGAGGGTATTCTTTACGTAGTTTCTGAAGCTTCGTGGCTATACTATCGTCTCCTTTTTGCATTGCGGCTATCTCTTCGTTCACGATAACGTGTCTTGCCATCTTAGCTGCTAACTCTTCGTCTAGCGCCGCATTTGCGGCTTGTGCAACCGCGGTGGCGATCTCCACTTCTATTCTCTTTTTTCTGGTTTCTTGGATCTCTTGTCTGAGCCGCTGCAATTTTATCTTCAAATCTTCCTTAGTTAACTCCATGTCGATATTTTTTCCTTTTTCCATCTTAGCTGTGATTTTACCTTTCCTGAGATGATAGAGTAACGTCTTAGGATTTGGTAGTAGGATTTTTATGTATGACTGAGAAACTTAAGACTCGTGGAGTTTTGGTCGGACATTTTGGAGAAGTGACTTGTAACTTTTTTTTTTTTTTTTTTTTTTTTTTCAAAATATTTTGGAAAGGAGTGGGCTAAAAATGTTCTCATTCAAAGCAACTTACCACATAAACAGTTAAAGCACACATGTAAACAGACAAATATCGTGTCCTAACATGCATGTGACCCTTTTGTGCCAAGGATAGGCCTAGCGATTTTTAAAGGATGTATTGCGCCATTTGAAACAAATTGTTGCACCCCCCAAAATAAGATTCATAAACGACAGAAAATTCATTACAAAATTAAGCAAAGGGATACATCTTTTTAGGGGAAGGATAAACTGCGAATACAATATTCAATCCCACGCAGGGGAATAAAATAACTAAAAAGCCGAAGGTCCCGCTCCTCCTCTCGCTTTTTCCACTTCTTCGCGAATGAGGAATTTGCTAGTCATCACATGTGGCTCGGCAAACACAGCTTTGAAAGATATCGATATGCCCTGGAGAGTGTGAAGCTGATCATCCAAGTTTGAATCCAGACGTATCAAACAAGCTCTTGCGTCGGCTAACTCTTGCGAGGCACAGGCTAAGGCCCTTTGACTTTCATATTCTCGATGCTGGAACTCTTGTTCCCTACGCAGGTATTCTTGCTCCCTACGTTGAAACTCTTGTTCTCTTCGATCCCATTCTTGCTGAAAGTGGTAGGCTTGGATTTGAAGCCTTACTTGGACATCTTCAATCTGTCTGCCCGAGCGTGGCGTCGGGTTAAGTGTACCACGTAGATCATCCTGCAACCATTTTTTGTATTCGTCAACATACCCAGCTTCATATCTGTTTTCGGTCATGCTCTCCTTTAGGTTGACCCGCCCGGCCCATTCCTGGAGAATGTCTTTGGCGTAAGGTATCTTGTCACACCCCTCGTAGTCGAAGATGTAGCGGCTAGTGTCTCCTTTGAAAGGTAGAATTTGTCTTCTGCCGAATTGCCGCATCACCCTGCTAGGGTTGTAGGGTCGTACCCCTCTAATGCCAGGAAGGATTAGGAAAGGACACTTAGCTCCCTGAACAACTATTTTTTCCGACATGAAATCTTGAAACATCCATTGTACATTTCCGTCTTTTATGTCATGGAATACCTTAGCCCATGCTTCCCTCGTGCTATGGATTTTGAACCTGTTAATGCTCAAATGGAACTCGTAGTGGTCGAGGTGGCTTTCCTTCTTCGGCTCGGCCAATTTTTGCTTCTGAGTCTCACATGTTTTCACTAAATGCTTAGACATCCACCATTGCAACAAAATATTACACCCTTGAAAAAACGAAAACCCATTTTTGCATTTACCCAAAGATCGATAGATGTCGGCCAAAATGATCGGGGCCAGGTTGAAGTATTTCTTGACTTGGCCCTTTTTACCAACTCCCTCAAAGATGGCGTGAGTTACCATGACAATTCGAGTATCAATTTCATTTCCTCTGTCTTGAGGAAATACCATCGTTCCTAATAGGCATACGGCAAAAGCTAGAGTTTGAGTGTGCCTCCAACTACCATAATCATGAAACTCATTTGGAAAATTCTTATAATAGTTCTCGTGTCCCCATCGTTCATAGAACTTCACCAACGGAATACTTGGGGTGGCTAGCCAGTCCGCACTTACCAGTAACAACATGTTTTTCAGTCCTGCGCTGGTCGGCTTATCCGGTAGCAAAATGTGATGATCTGGATGATTTTTTCTTTTCTGGCACGTCCCGATGTTGTCTAGACAATCTTTGATTTCTTCAACAGTTGGTGTCATTTCAACCTCTCCAAAGCGAAACACCATCCTCTCATCATCCCAAAATCGAGTGACCACCTCAATGAACTTAGGCCAGACTTTGAGATTCATTATCGACGGGAGGTTACCCAGATGAATAGAAAGTTCTCTTTTCTGACAGACATTGAGATTGTTCCACCATACACGGAGAAGATTCGGCGTCTCAGTGACTATTTCGAAACTCAGGTGTTGCTTGGCCATCTACAAAAACATACAAAAAATTAGATACCCCCCAAACCCGAGATACATCAATTTACCAAATGGCGCATACATCCTTCAAACACGTAAGTATGAACGTCCGTTCGGGCCGTGGGCCCTTTGGACTCAAGGTGGTCATTCTAATGGACCCAACACGCCTTGGGTGTTGGGCCGTCTTAGGCTAATGCGCTAAATTTGGTGATTTGGTTTTGCTCTATCCTAGTCTGACTAAGAATGGGCTTTCTTTATAGTGGATCGGTGACCCAAGCGGACTACTTGGGCTGGGACAATTAACGACCGTTGACTATCCAGTAGCCAACTACATTCGTCAGGGTGCCCCGAGAACAATTTGGTTAACGAACGACTGCGGCTCGCATAATCGTTCTTTAAGTGAAAAATAAAAATAAGTGTCGTCTGACGGAATATGTTATGCCATGAAATGCAACAAATTATATAAAATTAAACACATTAAACACAAATAAACAATTCAACAATTAATTACAATTAGTCAAATAGTCAATCTTATGGTTAGAACTTAATTAAATCCCCAGCAGAGTCGCCATTTCTGTTGCACCGTAATCTTTCTATATGTAGAAAAATCACTTTTTGAAATGTTCTAAGTATAAAACAATTTAAGAAAAATACTTAGAAAAGAGTCGCCACTTAATTTTTTAAAGAAATTAAGAAAACTTATCATTTTCAAAGATTTAAACAGAAAAAATCATTTGAAAATACCAAAGAGGGTTCAGGGTTCAATTTACACTTCGAGAAGGTTTTAGGCATTCGAAGTGTCCGCTAACACGCGGTTGACCTGCGACTTGACTAAAATGATTTTTTGACTAATTGTTTAGAAAATGATTTAACACAAAATAACAATTCACAATAGTTGATTAACTTTAAGAAAATAAATAATGACGCATTTTTATTTCATTATTTATTTATTTATTTTTTAAGAAAAAGGACCTAAATATGAAACAATTGAAATCAAACTGCATGTGAATAAAGTTTTAATAAAACTAGATTAATTAAAATTCATGTAATTCATATTTGAAACAATACGTTAAACCCATTTAATAAATTAAACATGAAAAACCATTTTTTATTAATTAGCTAACCCTTTTTAAGAAAATGACTAAGTGGGCGTATATATATATATTTGTGTGTATATATATATATTTAATTGAAAATGTTTTGACTAGCCCTTTTAGAGTTTCTTTGAGGAAATACGTTAACTCACAACAATTTTAAAATGAAATAAAAAGGTGATTAAATGAAAAAGCTTAAAAATATTATTTTTTAATAACAAAAAGTTTAACTTAATTAAAATGTATAATTTGACCGACATATTTGATTGATATAATGAGTGAACATTAAAACATGAAATATTAAAATTAAACCAACACAAAGAACTAACTCATCTTTTGGGGAATTTAATTAAGTTAATTAATAATTCTAAAATTAGAGTTAAGAGACAAACAATAAATAATCGCAAATAAATAATTAAAGAGTAAGAGAGAAATTAAATTTGGGCCTATCTCGTTGGGATTTTTGGACTTTTGCCCAATCCCGTTTTTGGTATACACTGGCTGTATATCAGTGTATATCAGCGTGTATATCAGCGTTTTTTACGCATTTCTTGCTTCCGAACACCTGTATACTGCCCGGCCCTGTATTTTTCACGTTTTTGACCTGTATTTTTAATGTATAATGCTGTATATTGGTGTATACAAGCCGGATTTCGGCTTATTTTATATCCACGTTCTCTGTTTTCCAGCCTTGTGCTGCGGCTTTCTTTGCCCGGCTGACTCGGACTATAAAAATAAAAATTGAGCCTTTATGGCTCATTTTGAAATGCAAAGGAGGAGGCTTGAGTTCGATCAAACTCCCATAATGCTCGCAAATAAAGAGAAAGTAAAGAAGTTAGCAAGATCATTCAAGTTTAAACCATATTGACTAAATTAAGTATAGACCCAAATGAAATTCCACCACAAAGATACAATCTTGAACACGAAATATGCAAATATTAGACTAGATACAATTGACGAATTTACCGACCGGATTCAAAGCAAACAAACCACCAAACATGAACTCAAGCCCTAACACATTTTAAGCTTTAATGAAACTACTTGTTAGAGATTAGAATGGAAATTATACACGCCATATGTATATATAAACTTTTTAAAAGAAAAACTAATAACGAGAAAGTAAAACTCATACTTTGTATAAACAAAACATTGAGGATAGCTACGGTAATACACAAGTAATCAAAACTTTAAATTTTAGTATGTGCACACCTAATATGCATAATATTTTGATCAAGCAAAAACATAAAATGAATATACCCTTTTATCAACTAAAACAGGGGAAAGGAGGGAAAATAATTTTGTGCCTCTTGCGAATAAATAAGCATTCTTTTGTCAGCGCCGATCCATTCAACAACCTTCGGTTATTTTAAAACTCACATATATTTACAAGCATATCGATAACGATGAACCAACAAACATTCAGCTGCATTTTATGTCCAACTAACAAATATCCATTTAGATTCAGGCGTATACCTTTTTTGGGGCAGCGAAGCAGAGGCAGTAACGAGCTAGCCACAAAGACGATTCCACCACCAAACGAAATCACAAGGATTCTTATGAACGAACAAGGAAACCACACTATAGTCGCACTAATCTCTCCTCGATTTCGAATGTATTTTGTATGTATTTTTGCCGTTTTTCTTGAGTTCTCTTTCTTTTTTTTTTTTTTCTTTTTTTTTTCGTTCCCCTCCAAATCCCCCGAAAATCAAGAACAAGTAGATGATATTTATAGAAAGGGAATTAGGGGAGAAGGGTAGAGTTGGAATTCCGAAATTCAACTCTCAATTTGAATTTTCTTCAGTCCAAGGATGGGAAAAAGCTGTCTATTGCTCCAAATTTCAACCAATATCCCTCAAAATCCGGATGAAAGATCAAAGGGACTGAAGGGGCTGCTGGAACGGTCTCTTTCTCGCGATTTCCGCCGAGGAGGACTGCACGTGAAGAGGAAGAGGGGCTGGTATGGGCAGTGGGGTCACGTTTGGTGCTGCTCTGCGCTGAAGTTGCGTGATTTTCGGGTGTTGCAGGGTGTGGGTCGTCTGGTTTCTGCTGGAGAAGGTGAAGTTGGGGCGGTTCTGGGTTTCTTTTGCTGAGGAAGAAGAAAATGGGTAAAAGGGGTCATGTGGGTTTATTTGGTATTGTTGCTGTTTATCTTGGGAATGGGCTGGAAATGGGCTGTTGGGCCGTTTCTGGTTGCTGGAAATGCTGTTGTATTAAATTGGGCCATTTGGAAAATGGCCCAAATAGGAAAGGGGTTAAGTTTTTTTTTTTTTTTTTATATTTTTTTTAAAAAAAATTGGATTTAATTTAGGTGAATTAACATTAATTAATTATCGAGTTTCTTAATCTTAATAAAATAAAAATAATTAAGTCGGTCATAAAATAATTAGTTTAATTACAAATTAGTGAACTCGAAATTAAATTAACAAATATCTAACTAAAAATGTAAAATCTTTTTGTGATAATTTTCAAATATTTATAAAATACGTGATTGTAAAAAATACACACATTCATTATTAAATTTATTAAATTATTGAATTTATAAAAATACTCTAAAATAACTTGAAAGTATTTTGGATTTTATAAAATTCATTAATTCAAAATTACGACCCTTACTACTAATGAAGTATTTAAAATATAAAATCTTTTCGAGATGAATTTTGAATATTCGTAAAATGCATTAATTATGTACATAACTAAATAAAACATACATATTATTAAAATGACAAAGCTATTTAAAATAATTTGCAAACTACGTTTATTTTATTTTATTTTTTTGAAATTTTATAAAATAATTCTTTTAAATTGTTCGAAATTGAAGAAACTCGATGATTAATTTATGTTGTGGAGGGTCAAAATTGGGTGTCAACACAACCTTGTTGGTAGAAAAAAATTAGTTTAATAAAGTAGAAAGACAATTTTGATGGCTAAAAATGGTTGTGAGGAGCATATAATTAGTAAACAATGTTGTAAAGAAAGAATTGCCCCAAACCGAAAGTCCAAAGTATGGGCTCATTCGAAATTGAGCCCGTTTTCGGGTATATACACGACACCCCAGCGCACGATAGCCTTGCCTCCTCATCTCTCGTTTGCCCTAAGAGCTTTATCTTCCTTTTTCTCCCCAAAAACAACAATAATAATCCCCTAATTCACCGACGATATCGGATCCAATTCTTCAGATCCTCAAACAATTCGTTTCGTTTTCTCTAAGAAAAATCAATGCTTTTCGGATTTCAAGTTGGCTCGCTAGATCGATACAGGTAAATTTTACTAATTTTTCCCTTTTTTCCCCAATTTTTTCTGATTTTTCTGATTAGATTTTGCTCTTGTATGATTTTTGAATTTCATTTGATTCGTTGGATTGATACAGGTAAAATTTATTATTTTTTTCCTCTTTTTTTCGGTTTTTTTCTGATTAGATTTTGCTTTTGTATGATTTTTGAGTTTCATTTATTCATTGGATCGATACAGGTAAATTTTTATACGATTTTTTCTTAAAGCTTTTCGCTTTTTTGTGATTAGATTTTGCCTTGTATGAATTTTGGATTTGAATTCGAATTTCACTTGGTTCATTGGATCGATATAGGTTTTGTTTTTACTATTTTTCTATTATTTTTTTTTTTTCAAAATTTTCCTTTTTTTTGATTAGATTTTGCCGTATGATTTTTGGATTTGTAGGATTGAGATTGATGTGGTTAGGGTTTGAATTTTTTTCACCGATTTGAATTTTTTCTTAATTTTTTTTTCATGAACAAGGATTAAGAAATCTTGTAAGTTTTTGGTGTCTCTGTTTTTGGATTTTTAGGATTTGTTATTTTATTTTTTATTTTTTGATGAATTAGGATAAGAAATCTTGTAAGTTTTGTAAAATTTGGTGTTTTTTTGTGAATTGGTACTATACATTGAAGAAAGGATGAGTGGAAAAGCGAATTTGCAAGTAGATTGGTTCATGTATTTCTGATTTTTTTGTCAAGATCTGATCTTTGTGAGCTGTTTGAACAACTTTATTGAATATTTCTATGAAAAAATGCTTTTGGAAAAAAAATTGGTGCAAAGTAAGGATGTTTGGATAGTTATTGTTCCTTTGAAGATATGTCAGTGTTTTGTGATGGAAGAAAACGTTTGCTTGAAAAACACCCACCCTCAAATCTCTTCTTAGATAACGATTTTAACTTTTTTCTGTGTGTGAAAACTCTTGAAAAACTGAGACAAGAAGGATTTTGGAAGAACTTTTTGCAAGATTTTAGAAAAGTCAAATAGCACCTTCATTTATTTGGTTTGTTGTCTCCTAATTTGATTCAATGTGATGTCCATTGAATATTGTCCCAAATAGATCAAGCTTTATATTTGGCGGAACTTTTCTTGTTAACTTTCCTGGTTGGATGTCTTCCAAGTTTCTTTCTTGTTCATACTTGGTGGTAATATTTCATTCTATCTTTTATTTCAGGAATTCAGCTATTTGTTTTTCTCGGAGATCTCCAGAGTCAGGTCAGCCTTCCCAAGCAGCTATGCGGGGATATGAAGGAGATGTAAGCTTATTTGTCCTTTTCTGTTTCCCATTTTTTTTATCGGTGGCTTTTATATCACCTTGTAGGCGCAAGTGTGTGATTTGATAAATGGAAAGTCTTTAGTTTTAGGAAAACCTTAATTTTCCTTGAAAGAAAAATTATTTAATATTGGAATGAAATAGACCTAAATTGGATAGAATGGATATAAAGGATTCACGTAGCAGATTCTTTGATTGATTTGGAAATTGGGATGAGGCATAGTTGATTGATATACTTTCATTTGACCACTTAGTTACGTTCATGCAGGAATATGATGATTCGTATTTGGATGAGTATGAGACTGAAGGTGAAGAGGAAGAGGCTGGTGAAGAGGAATATGAGGATGAAGAGCCTCAACAGCCTTCACAGGAGTTGTTAGAGTACCTGGAGCTGAGGCAACGGTTAAAAGATGATATCAGGAAGCAGAGGAAGAAAGAACTAGGTGGTGGTTCTCGCGAATTTAAAAAGAATGCATCATCCAGGGATAAGTGAGTGCCGCTAGTATGTTGATATGATACTACTCATGTTCTCTGATTTTGAAGTTACCAATTTCACAAAATTTATTTGTTGTTACTTAACTCAGTCTGATAATTCTATAAATAGATGATTGTAACAATGTGTTAGATCTCGTGCATAGATTTATATTATGCACTATTACTGCATCAGTTAAGTGGAAAATAATTGGTGCATATTTTTTCCCTTGGGAAGATGGTTGTGCTCTCTCCTGTAGAATTATACTGAATGCATCTGTAAAGGGATTTGAGAATTAGCCTGTTCTGAAATTATTCTTTTGATGCTTTTGTTAGAGAAAGATGATGTAGTTGGACAAAGAGAAGTGGTTCTCTTTGTACTGGTGGAATGGTGCATCATTTTAGGTGAAGTTTATATTACGTTTTGATTTTGAGGCTCATGGTTTGTCTTACCATCTCTATCTGACCCTGCAGTTTTGGTTCCTTCTTTGGACCTTCACAGCCTGTTATCTCTAACAGAGTTATCCAAGAAAGCAAGTCTCTACTGGAGAATCCAAATCTGGCAGCTAAAGTCATGAAATCTAACCATTCGGTATGTATACGAATTTCTCATATCAAGTTGCTTGTACTATTTGTTTTTGCAATTTTATTCCTATGGATGGTTTGTGCTTGGGGGGGGGGGTTGAAAAGACCTACAATTTTGTTGAATCCCATGCAGACTTAGCTAACTAAAGATAGGACACAATGAAAGGGAAAATCTATTAGCTGATATCAACTGGTTAAAAATGTGCTCTAGTCATGTAAGTACTATGTTATTTAGGTCGATGCTCTTCTACGAGTATTTTAGTCGCATATTAAGGTCATCACAGCTTTAGCTTCCACTTCCATCCACACTAATAGAATGATGTAACCCATTATAGCATTTTTCCACTAGATATTCTAGTGAGACATGCTCTGCCTGGTGATTGTAGTCATGTTAATTGGGGAAAGTATAGATTCTTCTTAGCACATGTATCCTTTTCCTTTTTGGTTTTGGCTTACAGTTCATCTGATGCTTACCCTTGCCTTTCCAGCAGAGCAATAAGAGTGCTGCTTCAAAGCCTGCAAAACCTGCAGGATCAAAAGCATCCACCAGCAACCATGCACCAAAAGTCACAAATGGGGGTAATACATCAATCAGTGCAATTTCTCCAACACTTCTCCTAATTTTTCTTCTAATGTACTATTTTACTGAGGATTTTTATGTCATTTGATTTTCTGTAGTTAAAAAGGAAGATTGATATGGTAAAAAATACGAGGGACTATTCGTTTCTATTATCTGATGATGCTGAACTTCCTGGTCCATCAAGAGGTTCTTTAACTCAGAAAGTGTCTGCCCCTTATTGTGGTGCGCTCTTGGTCACTGTTTATTCATGTTTCTATTTAATAAAATCTGTCTCAACGTGCTATATTTATTGAGAAACTTATTCAGGGTTTTTGGTGATATTGAAGATGCACGGTTCGGAAAGCAGACTTCAAGTGATAGTGGGAGAAAGCTTCTAGATGATCGTGAAATGAAAAGAGACAGCCAAAGGCAACCTACAGCTGTGATTCAAAAATCGGTGTCTATTAATAAACCGACTCAACCAACGGTTGACTCTAGGAAACAGTTCGGTAGCAGTAATGGAAGTGGGCCTGGACGGCCGCCTTTGGGGCCAAAAGGGTTGTCCCCCAAGGTTACCGGGGCACCAGGCGCCAAGAGTACTGTGCCTGCTTCCCATAGGCCAACCCCTTCAAGAGTACAACCCGCTGTACCAAGGCAATCTTCGGTACAGAATAGGCTACCACTGGAATCTGGTAAGTCAAAAGTGATGTCAAAACAAGGTGTGCCTGTCTCCAAACCTCAGGCGGTGATTCAGAAACAACAAGCTTCCTTGGCTAGATCTCAGGTAAGCTGTGCCTTGATTTTTATATAATGTTTTCTTCTTTTCTAGGGTCCTGTTTTTTAATTAATTTAATATATTTTAGTTGGGTGGGGTTAAATTTTGGCTTATTCCCTATAACTTTTTGACCTTCAGAATTTACTAATTGAGATCTGTGATCCTAATAGATAAGACCACCACCTCCTAGAAATGTAGCACGTCCCTCGGACGATAGGCGCCCAGCACTACAGCAAAGAGATGATAGGCGCCCAGCATTACAGCAAAGAGATGAAAGGCGCCCAGCACTACAGCAAAGGGATGAAAGGCGCCCATTGCTTCAGCAAAAGGATGACAGGCGGCCATCGCTTCAGCAAAGGGAAGACAGGCGCCCATCACTTCAGCAAAGGGATGACAGGCGCCCATCACTTCAGCAAAGGGATGACAGGCGCCCATCCCTTCAGCAAAGGGATGACAGGCGCCCACTTCAGCAAAGGGATGACAGGCGCCCAGCACTTCAGCAAAGAGATGACAGGCGCCCAGCACTTCAGCGAAAAGAAGAGAGACGCCCAGTACATCAGCAAAAAGATGATAGGCGCCCAGCAAAAAAACCAACGAGATATGATGAAGAAGATGATGGAGGACAAGCCATTAGTATGATTAGGGAGATGTTTGGGTACGTACATATTTTTTCTTTCTTGCTTCCGTTACAAATTTATGTCTTGTTCCTTTTTTCCTTTGGGAGTTCAGTCGACATTGCATAAATTATAGCATCTAGCTCTAGAACACTTAAAACTGCTAATTCCTTAAAGTTGAGGTTTAAAGGGGTTTGAAAAGTTCACATTCCCTTTGCGAATTGCCTATTCGAGTAAAAGTAACTATCCTATTGATAGTGGATCTGTCATCGAACTGATTGTTTTTATATTCCTCTGATTGGATTGTAATCAAGGGTTTAGAGATATATATGCCTTGTTGATGGTTCTTCATTTAGTTAAAAGCTTAGGAAAACATGTTTTTAGTTTTGGTTATTGCTTATGTTAATTAATGTTTACCTCATCTTTTCGGCTGATAGAAGTGTCTGTTTTCCAGGTATAATCCAAATAGGTACCGTGATGACGACGATGATAGTGATATGGAGGCTAATTTCGATGAAATTTTGAAGGAAGAAAGGCGGAGGTTGGTAACATGTCTTTTAGAGCAGACTTATTTTCATTCATTTTTTTGGCTATAACTATTCAACCATGATGCATCATAATGTCTTTTTAAGATTGATATATAAAAGTTTTATATAAATAATGCTGATGTTTGTGCATAGTACTTTAGTTTGTCAAGATAATGTACTCTATCGGTTACTGCCGAAGGGATTAAACAAACCTGACCTGCTTCTTTCCTCTGTTTTTTTGTCCTCAGTGCGAAAATAGCAAGGGAAGAGGATGAAGAAGAACTCCGGAAGATAGAAGAAGAAGAAAGGCGGGAGCGATTGAGAAAACAAAAGAAGCGCAAGTTGAGCCATCAATGACAAAGATAAATTGTCTTTTACTTTGTCGATGGGCACCTTTAGAAGGGTGTTGTAGGATGGTTTTTTTTCTCTCTTGCTGGTTATAGGGCAGGATAATGATATGGGTTGAGGTGGAATTGTACAGTCTCCCCCCTAAGTTTTGAATAGATGTTGTAACTATTGGTTTATTTGTTGGGGCATAATTGTTCAATTAGTTTATAAGAAGATTTTTTTCTTATACTTAGCAGCAATAATCGTGGCCCCAAAGCTGAATCTGGTTCCCGAAGCATTGGAGGCTCATAGTTATAATTTAAGATATCCGATCTTCTATTGGTTGTGCTTGTGTTGCACCAATTTTTGAGGACTCGTTATTTGGTATGTCCATCATGCAAGGTTCTTTTTGTTTCACAAAAAGGTGACTCAAAGTTTGTAGACCCAACAGCTTAAGGTCTTATCTTTTTTGTGAAAACTAAAAGAAGTTTCAAACAGTTACTCATACTGTTAGAGATTATGACACGCCCAATGTAATTTCTCATGTGGAATGTGTATGGAGGATGGTATGTGTGTGCAGGCGGGATGTAGGGAGGATGGTGTGTGCAGGTCTTACCTTTGCGTTGTGGAGGTAATTTCACAAGTGGGGTAGGATGATGTGTGCCGGTTGGATGTAGGGATGATGGTGTGGGATGATGTGTGTGCCGGTTGGATGTAGGGAGAATGGTGTGTGTGCATGTCTTACCTTTGCGTTGTGGAGGTAATTGCACAAGAGGGGTAGGATGATGTGTGCGCTAATGTGTGTGCCGCATGGATGTAGGGAGGATGGTGTGGGATGATGTGTGCGCCGGTTGGATGTAGGGAGAATGGTGTGTGTGCATGTCTTACCTTTGAGCTGTGGAGGTAATTGCACAAGAGGGGTATGTCTTACCTTAGAGCTGTGGAGGTAATTGCACAAGAGGGGTAGGATGATATGTGCACTAATTTTACTTTTACCTTGTGAAACAAACGGTGTATTGTTATGTGAGATGTAGGGAGAATGGTGTGTGTGCAGGTCTTGCCTTAATGTTGGAGGTAGTTTCACGAGGGGAGGATGATGTGTGCGCAAATTTTATACTTACCTTTGTGAAACAAATGGAGTAGTCTTGCTTGCTATCTAGAGTTATATAGGTGTTTCGTATTAGTAATGTAGAGGTTAGTTATTGAGAATTAGTTATTTTTATGTATTACTGATTGATGAGTATTAGGGATCGTTTGGTTGTTTGTTAGTATTAAGATAGGCATAACTAGAGTATCATGTTTTTATAGTATTTTTAGTTGCTATGTATAAAATTTAGCATATCAAGTACAGTGTTTGGTTACTAGTTTACAAACTTGTATAATTATTAAATGCATAAGTTATGACAGAATTTTATATACATATAACTAAATATTGCATCAATTAACTACTCTTTGAATTATTAATTGCATAACTCTAACCCGTAACCAAATGACCTTTTAATATTTCATTTTCTACCTTCCATGAAATAATATACAATATATAGATTGATTTATAACATATATATAACTCCAGATTATAGTTGTGCAGGATTGTAAAATTGATAAGCAAATATCATGCACACTAGTATAACTACTAAAATTTGAAAAAAGATTGGGTGTATGTCGATCTTATTTTTATCTCATAAAAATAAAAAATTATTTTCTTTTCGAAAGACTAGATCGAAAAGGAACAGAAATGAAATAATATTCATGGGTCCAGTTGTAAGAGAAAAAGGAGTTTATTTGGATATCCGCGTGCACCCCCCATTTTCATAAACTAGATTTTTGGTCTACTCTAGGCCTTCTTCTTTAATCATGGGAGATTCAAATTTTATTGGTTCGATTAATTTTTATTCGTGTTGCATAAGTTCTATTTTTAAATAATAGATCTTGACGAAATAATCAATTAGGCATGATCATAGACAGATAAAAAAACCTTAGTAACTTTTTTGCTAGTCTTCACAATAACTTCACTTTCTTAATTATTTGTGCTCAAAGAGGTTATATTATAGTAACCTAATAAAATAGACATAGTAAGGAATGATTAACTTATCAATCTCATGGATATGAATATTGCAGGTTCAAATTATATTCTCGTCTTTCATTGAATACCACTTTAATGCAATTATTTATTTGTTAAAAAATAGCATTTAGAGAAAAGAAAATTGATTTTCATAATTTTTTTAATTCTTAAAATTAAACTCAAAATTTCTAATTAAGGGAGACGAAATCTATCTCACCATTATTGCTTAATCTATCATGGATTATGCATGTATCTTCTTTTTCGTGTTAAAGAACTATACTATTTTTCTTTTTTTGGGGGTTGAAAATGAGACACACGAGATATCGAAGAAACAACTTGAAAGTTGCACCTATTATGGCTTTTTAAATAATTAAGGGAAATTTTGTATACATAATAAGGATAATAGTTTCAACTATTAAAATGTAAAATTATTTTGTCCCGAATTTTATTCTATGGTTGATTATAACTGTCGATTAATTTCAAGATTATTTTATAATATTATTTTTATCAAAATGATAAATTAACTAATTTCATATAAAAAGATGAAATAGTTAATTCAATAAAATATCACGTGCCAAACAATCCCTTAGAAATTAATGGAGGAAAGGTGGTTAAAAAATACTAAAATAATTTTAAATTATGTCAATCTAAATAGTACACTGACACTAAGATCAAAACTGCAACCTAATAATTACTAATTTTACCTTAGCATAGTTGCTCGTTTATTAATAATAAAAATTAAGGAATGGTGGGATAATTATAATGGGATTATTGGACAAGATTACTGAACATGGAAGAGTCAACAACTTATATACTAAAATAAAACAATGTAATAATTAGTATTTCTACCATTCAATAATAGTCGTTGACTATTGACTTGACACAGAAATAAAGAAGTAGTAAATGATATAGGTAATTCTACCAAATTACCCTTGTTAAATATTCTCTTCGTCTCATATTACTTGATCAGTTTTCATTTTACATGGTGCTTAAGACACCATAAATAAGAAAATAACCCCTTAAAAAACTTCTTGAAATTTTACAAACAAATGTAATCACTTTTAAAAAGAATTAGTTGCAAGGGTAATATATGAAAATTTTAATTAATGCTTTATTGATTTAGTAAAGTGATCAACTAATACGTAACAACTATTTTTAGTATAATGATCAACTAATATGAGACAAAAAGAGTATTAGTCATCTAAATATTAAGAAATGAAATAGTATTTAATAACAAAGATAAAATAGACACAAAATAATTATTTTTATTTATTTAATAAATAAAATGGATAAATAAAAATGGACATCCTAAAATATCACAGTGGACAAATAAAAATAAATAGAAGAATTAATAAACAAATTATTTAGTATAAAATAGTTATATTTATTTAAGAAGCAATAATGAACATAACCCAATATAATTCAAAAATAAAATAAAAAAACAATTTATTATGACTATTTTAAAAATTACGTTAGATAATATGAGACGGAGAGAATATAGTATTTTGTGAGTTGTAAAGAGCATTGGGGTTAGTGGACATTTATCACAAAATCCGATGCCACTTCTGCAGTCAGTCAGTCAGTCGGTCTCCTCATTGTTCTAAAACAAATTTATTTAATTTGGATTAAGAATATAGTATAAATAAATATATATTTGCAGAGTTTAAATTGATAATCTAAGATCAGTTGCTAGGAATTTTAAAAAAAAAATTTGTACTCGATATCAATGAAAGCTGATTTACAGCGTGACTTATGGAGTCTCAAGTAAATTCAGTAATATTTTTTTTGTCCAAATTATGTATATATGTATTAAAAGATTTATTTATTAATTTAATCTATTTAAAATCAGTTCAACCCACAATTTGGCGCCTCTTAATAAAATTTGAAAAAATTACTTAAATACATAATTTATTTTATTATATTCTCTAAAATTTCTTATCATTTGAAAAAAATACAAAAATTCCTACTTCACGCGATATATTAGTCAGATACATCACTTTACGCAATGTATCGATCGAAAAATTCATTTATTTTAAAAATAATCTTATGACATTAATCTTTAATTTTCGTACTTTCTTAAACTCCACACACAAAAAAGTAGCTAGTTAATTGCACTAGATGTTGCTTCGTAGGACTCATTGATGGAGTAGTAATATTGAAGATAAAGAGTTAAGAGGGTAGATTTTGTTAGACGTTATAAGACGATTGAAAACCTTAAATAATTTGAATTTAATGGAGAGTTTGGGAAAGTCCTATTGAGATAGATGGTGGTTTTTGTCTTCCTTAAGCAAGGAGTTTAATTATCATGCTAAATAATTATTTTAATTTTATTTATTTTACAATTTATCTTCTAATATGATTGTTCAAAAAACCCGATTCTTTGAGTTTTTAGGTCGCAATCAAACTAACAATGTGTTATTGCACCCTATAGCGAATTAATGTGATAATTTCTATAATCTTATCTAATTTAGTATAATCACATATCAATCTTACAATTTGCGGCACTCATCTTATGAATATGCTGAACTTTAGCAACTCAACATTCTATGCTATATAACATCATCAATTTTTATATAACTAGAAGTGAAAGTTGGGTTGTTAAAATTCAATATATCACAAAATAAATGATGTGAAAATATAAATTCTAAAATAAATATTTTCTTTTTTAGTCGGTTTAAAAAAGATTGACCTCTTTCTTTTTTTGGTAATATTTTAATTTCAGTTTTCTACGTGATATGTGTAAGACCATAAGATTAAAGAACAATTTTGTACATTTAACATAACTTTATTTTAGGATCACAAAATTTAAAAGTCTTTTTTATTTTCTTACCCTTTGTATCAAGTCAAACTAGATTACTCTTTTTAAAACGGAGAAAGAACTATTACACTGGATGTTAAGTTAAATGTTCGATCATGCTTAGATAGTAGAACAACAACCAACGTAAAACTAATGCTTTTCAAAAGTAGTTTTTTTAAATAAAATAATATTTTCAAAATGAAGAATTTCTAGGAGTTCCCAAAAGTACTTTTCCTTGTTTGGTCAAACAACTTTTCTATTGTAGTTTTAGGGTGACCAAAGGGTAATTATATTTAATAAGTAATTTTGTTTTAGGAGAAGGATTGAGAACAACTATATATATCTCGTGCTTCTCCATGTCAAAATCAGCTTTAATTATTTGAC